ACGCTAGAATGGGTCAAGGAAATGCCAAAAACACTCCCTAAAAGAGCTGAACCGTTTTCACAAAGCCTGAGAAGCATGCGCTCAAAAGGGACGCCTAAACCAAAACGAAAGAAGAAACGAAATTCTGAGGCAACTCAAAATGCCGCTCAAGAGGAACTTAAGTTCACTGCAAACAGCCTTATGCATAAACTTCGTAAACGACCTAAGAAACGAAAACTTTTACTCCCCAATGCTATACCTCAAAAAGATGTCTATCCGCAGTCGCAGCAAGGAACAGATGATTTGAAATCCACTAGTGTGGCTCAGTCCGCGGATACGAAGAAGGCGGAAAAGGCGGACATTGTCCCGGCTCAAGTAGGAAAGGAGGCTGAACCAAAGGAGACACTTTTTCAGCAACTAAGTTTACGGCGGAAACCGAAGACAAATGAGATGGCATCACAGCAGCAGGCTTCTTCAGCAGAAAAAGAACAGCCCGCTTCCCAGTCAACAACCGCCGTGGGCAGCAAAGAAGATCCAAAGGCTAATAAGCCTAAGGCGGAGTCAGATTCCAAGTCGGAGTCTACACCAGCAAGCCTATTTCAACTCTTAAGTTTTCGTGTAAAGAGGAAAAAATCCTCTCATCCAGGTGCGGAAGGAAAAGGAACAGATTCAAAAGATAGCCAATCCATCTCTACAATGAAAACGTCTGATCAAAAACAACTGAAAAGCGACGAAGTCGATGTAGACCCCTCCAAAGAGACAAAATCTCAATCAGGGCCTCCAAAGGTTGATGAAACGTTGTTTCAGATGATTAGCCGCCGTATTCGAAGAAAAAAGCGTAGCAGCCCTGCAGCAAGTGAGCAACCACCGGTACAGCCACAAGAGATCAGTAGTACAGCAACAGTGGCTAATAAGGAACAAGCGGAGACAACAGCTGCAGCTGATGGTAGTAAGGTGCAGGAAACCACTAAAACCTCATCGATCGCGCTTAAAACAGCAACTGCTGAGACCGTTCCAAAAGAAGAAATTGAGAAAAAGAAAGAACCAGTTCCAGAAGTTGAGAAGAAATCTGTAACACGCAGCATTCTTAGTAAGCTTCCATGGCCATCTCCGAAGGCAACGACACCTACTTCAGCAGCTGTGCAAGAGCCTAAAGCGGAGGAAAAATTACCGCAGCTGACACCTGCAAGTAAATCCTGTTCGCTGGAAAAACGCCAGATACTGGGAATACTTCAACGTCTTCGCCTCAGCAAAAAGAGATTTACCGGATCTGATAGCGAGTTAAATTACCCATTAGGTTCGCTTCTCACTGGCTTGCGCAAATCTGAATCAGAAACATCCAACGTTTCATCTGCTAAATTGAGCTCTACAGATGTTGACAAGTCACTTTTTAAACGTTTTCTTCTGAGGAAAACTAAACAGCAGACACCAACAAAAGCAACGTCTGAAAATGATGTAAAAACTGCGAATGCATCAGTTGGATCGCCTATTGTTAATACAACACAAGGAACCTCTGTGGAAGCTAAAGGAACAGCGGATTCCGCTGATTCGAAAAAGAACCAAGATACATCGGTGATTGGAGAAGTCCGTTTAATGCATGAAAAAGTCAAAAAAAGAGCAAAAGGTCTTTGGAGAAAGTATATAACAAAAGAAACACCTTCAACCCAGCCGGAAAGTACAGAACCACAAGACCAAGCAGCCCCAGATAAAGCTAAAGAGCTCTCACAAAAACAGGATGAGAATGAAAAAGAAGCGAAGACACCGCCGCCGCCTGATGACGCTCTAAAAGAAGAGGAAAAGAAGTGAAATGCTATCATGATTTTTATGTTTAGTGCAAACAATGTTCATCAAAAATTTAACCAGTTCTGCATAAAAATAAATTGATTAAGGTCTATTCTTGCTTTCGCATTGTTATGAGAAGAAAGAACTCAAAATACATCTTTAAGGATAGGAGTTATACTGCTAGTTTTTAAACTAGATCCTTTCAGAACCATCAAGGCTATTGCTGATTTTATCAAATGAAACTACATCTAATTTGACAAGGTCTCTTCCACTTGCTGTAGATCTCTTTTTGGCCACGTAGTAG